GCTGCCGGCGCCGCTGGCCCGACCGAGGCACCAGGCTGCTGAGAGGTCGCCGCCATCGGGACATCGGCCGTAGACCCGCTGCTTCGAGGAAGTGCCTTGTCGAGATCATCGCCAACCGGGCCGCCCTGGGGCTGGGATTGCGAGCCGGAGGAAGTCTCGGCCGCTTGCGAGGCGGGCGTCTTGCCGGCAGACGACTCGGCCCCCGGGCCGCCGGCCGGGAAGGGGTCCTCGTCCATGGAAATTTGCCCGGGCTCCGGCTCGGAGTCACTGCCGGCATCCTGGGAGGCCGGCACGGCGGCCAATCGAGGCCCCGCAGGAGGCCCGGACACCGGCACAGACACCGGCGTGGGGGGGATCGCCGGCGTTGGCGTCGGCACCGGTGCCGGCACCGGCGTCGGCACCGGCGCGGGTGCTGGCGCCGGAGTGGAGAAGCGCGAAGCCGCGGCGGGTGGCCCGCCAGTTGCTTCGGCCGCCGCTCGGGCCGTTGTGAAGACCACCTTCACATCCAGCCCGTCAATGGTCAGCTGGTCGTTGACCGCCCGGATGGCACTCTGGATGGTGACAAAGTTGACATAGGCGGCATTGGTGGCGCGGCCCATGGGGGTCACGGAAAAGCGCTTCATCGTGCGCATGGTGTCGATCTGCCCCGGGGCCAGACAAACACCAGGTGCCGAAGAGGAGGATCGCATGTCAGTGAGAGGCCTGGGAATGCAAAGGAGGGAGCCGCGAGCAGCAGGCGGGGGGGGGGGGGCGCGGGGGATACATGTGCGGAGGTGCACACAGGGAAAGCTCGGGAGGCGATGGCAGCAGGAAGGGCGATGGCAGCAAGCAGTGCGTACTGGGCTTCGGCGCCACTGGCGACATTGGGACCGAGGATCGCGGCGAGCCGGGCCCAGAGGCGCCCGCGATATCCGGGCTGGTTACATCGGCTGCTCTCGATGGCTGAGTCACCGCCTCGGGCCCGAGCAACTTGCCATCTAACAGGGTCTGTGCCACGGAATACACCTCCGAGGCCGCGTCGGGGGAAATGTGCGCGAATCCGGCGCTATTCAGCCGTCCGGGCCCAAGACGCCCAGCTGGGGGGGTGGACACCGCCCCGGCCGGTGAGTGCCGGGCCTGGGCCTCCAGCAGCCGGCTAGTCCGACGGAAGTCCCCGGCGGACATGCGATCTCGCGACAGGAGATCCAGCGGCGTTTGCTGGCGGTCGGTCCGGGCGTGAACATCTGCCCCGAAGACCAGAAGCAAGGCCACGGCAGCAAATTGGCCCCGCTCGGCGGCCTCATGCAGGGGAGCCACGCGATGGGGCCCGCGAACATTGGGATCCG